TCTGCAGTTAGTGTAATAATGCAAACAAATCACATATTCAATATACTCATTTTCACGAGCGTTGGAAACAGAGTATACAGAAAAAAAAAGAAAACAGAAGTCAAGTCAATAGACGGAAAAGGGGCACAAAATTTATTTCACTTCTGTTTGAAGTTGCCATTCGATTGGAATTTTAAAAAGCCAACAGTGCAAGCCAAAAATGACATAAAACACACAAGTCTTGCATGTGAACTATTTTAGCAGCTATCAGGAAATATATAGCACATAAATTGATGTTCCCAATTGCCGCCCCAAGTTGAAAACTACTCGGTAGTCATGGTTGGATGTTAAAAATTGATATCTTTTATAGGCAATAAATAAATAAATAATATCCGTTTTTATATGACAAATAACGAATGAAAGTGAATACGGATTCAATAAACTCATTTTTAGAAGAATAATTTAAAAGTATAATTAAAATTAACTTAAGTTTTTAAATGAACATAAAATTGAAGGGAATCTACTCTTGTCTCTTAACCACTCTGTTAACTTGTTAGTAGCTTAAATATTTTGATAGTCATTTCTATACTAATTCGCTATTATCTCTTATTTTGCAGGTGCGTATGATTTGGGAACCTTTAATGAATAATGATGAGAACGAATGGATGGATATTATGAAAATTGAAAATTGCCATCTCTCTGTGCCACTGATGATATATTATATTATGACAAGTGGAGGTCATATTAAAGAGTCCGCCATTCATTGAGGCAACACTTAATATGTAAATAACGGACGTTATTCAACATCCGTTTGTCAGTGGACCGTTTGGCGATGATAAATAACCGCAGTGTTTCAGCTCCTTTATTCTTTTCGTATGCTTCTCGTATGCTTTTCTCCACTTTTGTTTAGCGGAGGAAAAAATGCTTTGGCCACGTCGTCGTCGCCGTCGTCGTCGTCTTCATCATTGTCTTTGTGTTCGTTTTCATTGCCGTTAGCGTTTTTATCTTTATACTGCATTCAGTTTACTTTATTTCTTTTGCTACTCTCTCCCATCAATGCCGCCCTGCCGCCCTCACTCACCAGCAGAAACATCTTTTGTATTATTGTTACGTGTGCCACAGACTCTGTATATTTAGTCCCTGTCACAGTCGCTCTTTGTGTGTGTGTGTGTGAATGTGTGTGTTTGCAGACCTTTAGCAGCGAAAGAATGAAAACCGTTAGAAGTGCTCATGCTTCAATATTAAAATGGCGGCGCCATCACACAGAAATTATGAAAGAGGCCTTCTGAATACCGTTGCGAACGGACTCAAAACGAACGCTTTCTTACCACTTAAGACTTTGGGCTTCATCGGGTTTTTGGCCTTTAAATAAATAAAACCAAAGTCGCTAAGCTTTCGCATTGGTTAGTGGGTTGGGGTTGGCGTTGGTATTGGAGGTCGCTAGACGGTTTAGGGGGGTTTTAGGGGTGGCTTTGACGATGGCCTGAATCGGCAGAATGAGTTAAAAGCCGCCAGCCACAAGTAGCTCAGCGAGCGCACACACGAGCCGCAAAATAATGATAATAATGATGACATTGACGATTTCAATTGTTTATTAAATAAACGCTTTGGCAAATGGAAAGCCCTTTTTCCCTTTTTGAGGCCATTTGCCGTAGTTGACAAGCACTTACAACTTATTTTGAGCTGGATTTAAATGCTTGGGCAGGAGAAAATGTGTATAAGCTGTGCTATAACAGGTTCCAACAAGTTAATTCGTAGAATACCAGCAAAATTATTGAGTAACGAGATGCTTTTGATATGATTGTTGATTTATGTAATATTTTTCGGGGAGAAATATATAATTTAAAAAAAATAACTGGGGTTTAGTATCTTTATGATTAATGTTAAACTCAGTGAAGCGAAAGAAAAAGACTCTTGAAAAGATTGGAAACCAGCATCTTACTATGCTCTCCATCTAATATAAGCGAAACAACTAGAGTAGTCACCAGCAATAATCCTCCATCTGATGAAGCCCGTACGCTGTGCTCAATTTCATTAAGGCCAATCGCAACGACTAAGCCGCATCGCATCGATGCCAATTGGCACAGTGCACCTGAGAAGGAGCTCGGGTTTTTGGCTCCGGCACAGCTTGTTCAGTTGGATACACTCGCTCGATTTGACATGACCCGCTTTAGTTTTGAGTGCGTGCCATGTGAACCACAAAAGCATCGCTGACTGGAATAGCTGGCAGCTTATTGCAATGGATTTCATGTCCGCCTGGCTAAGCCGGCGTCCGTTTTATGGGTCATTGGAGCAGCAGCAGCAGCAGTAGCAGCAGCATCAGCAGCAGACGTAGCACATCACAGCAGCACACACTGACGTGCTTCTGTCATACAGGCAATCATTGGAGTCGAGTTGATGAAAAGCCAGTGAGGAGCGTGCAGCGACATAACCTACATGATAATGCTCATGTCAGTCGAGGACAGAGCACAGAGCACAGTTTGCCCCATGGACGAGCAGTGGGCTGGGCACGCCAGGAGGTATTTAAGACCAGCCAAGTTAAGGCTGATGCTGCAGCTGCAACTGAAGCCAAAGCTGGCTGGTTTGACGGGCAAACGGCATCATTAAACACGAACAAAGTATCATCGTCATACTCATCATCAGCAGCAACAGCAGCAGCAGGAGAAGCAGCAGCCATCAGATGGTATACAGCAACTGTAGCACGTGCCAGCTACTCAGACACTGAGAGAAATTACCCAGTCAACCAGATGACAATGGCTCGTAAAACTGCAATATTTGCGGCACAGTTGAATTTATTGTTAATAATGCTTGTTTTATGTTACCCTAAGCATGCAGGTGAATGAGTTTTGTGCAGCATGGAGTGGGAGCGAATCAAATTTGGCTTTTCATTTCTGCTTCTTACAGTTATAGAATCGTATCTCATACACTTTAAATATATATTTACACTTTTCTCAAGCTTACAACTTGTTTAATGTTCTAACTAATGGAGGAGTGTTACTCAAATTTAGGCATCTGCTAACTTGAGGCTAGGTCAGTTTAGGGCGATTGTCGACAGAAAAACAAAGAATAAGAAATATATCCAATATCCTATATATTTATGCTGATCTCTGCCTCTCTCCGTGTATTCCTACTCAATTTGTACATTAGTTAAAGCACAAGCTTCGTGCTGTGCATCTTATAAAGTGCCCACGGGGCGTCGCAGCCTGATGTCGAAATGCACCTGTGCCTGAAAGCACCACCCACACCACCCACACATAACGTCGCGTCAATTTATAAGGCAATGCAAATCATTGTTTGATTGTGTGTGTGGCCCAAACTCCAGCATGTCTGAAATGCCTGAGCTTGATCAATTACACCCACTGACACTATTAACCCCAGGACCAAGGACCAGGCTCAGACATGCAGCTCTCATATTTGAGTGCGTTGGTAAGGTGGATCCCATATTATTGTCATTGTAATAAGTGAGGCGTGTGCTAAGTGCACACACACACACACACACACACACACATCTCCTCATGTCTGTTTGTTTGTCTGTCTGTCGGTTTGTCTGTTTGTTGCCATCTGCCGCCTGTTTGAGATTCATTCATGCATACCTCACTGGCCCAGTTGTTGGGTGGTGCGTGCACCTGAACACCCTACCAACGATACCTTAATACCTCTGCTGGTAGAGCTCTTTAGCTGCGGGGTTCCTGCTTCATGTGTTTGTTTAGGCACATGTAAAGCGTCTTATCTGTGTCGTGTAAATGCTCCCGTTTGCCAAAGCCCAGGCTATGATTATGCGCAGACACACACACCCAACTAACCAACCAAGCAAGCAACCAACCAACCAACCAACCAACCAGCCTAGCAACCCACCCATCAACGAAGGAAAGGCAGTCGCAGCACGTAGTAAACCATACACAATGCTTTTGGCACACATTCAGATGAGTTTTCCAAGTCAGCTCATGCCGAAAATATCATTTAGTTTCTGTTTGAAGAGCAAGTCATACAGGCGTGAGCTCCTAATGATGCACACAACTTGCTCACTTTCACAGAATGATGGAAAAGTGAAAATGCATTACGCAAGCTATACTCGTATGATAGCATGCAAAAACACTTAACAACAACGAGAATCTATATAAATATATATTTATTTATTTTGTATAATAATCTATGCCAAATGTGTTGTGGTTCAAGGTCTTCGCAAAGGTTATCGGTTCGTTGCACACCAATTCACAGTCAGACTTAATCAAATATCTTTTATATGATTGCCATCCGATACTGAAACATGCTTTAGTGCAGCAATGGCATTCAATTCAAGTCGGAATTTCAGCATACTCAATGTGCGAAACAGTAAAACGTAATTAAATTTATATTTCCCTTTGGCCAGGATATTGTACATGAGAAATTCCTTCACATTTACTTGCATACTCTCTCATAAAACACCTGCCAATTGGTTACGACAATTTGTTGTCATTAAGAGCTCTGCTGTCTGGAGTATGGCCTCCGGTCTCTGGTCTCTGGTCTCTGGTATCTGGTCTTTGTTCTTTGGGTTCTGGGTTTTGGACCGTTTCTGGCGGCTGTCACAAACAAGCCGCAGCTGCCAGAAGTTCTTTAACCTATAGACGGGGTGGTGGGTGAAGTGGAGGCATCCTTTGCAAAGGGATGCTGCGTAACGAAGCGCGATGAACGTAAATGAATGCAAAATAATACAATAATAATTAAAAGTGCATAAAATTCAAAAAAACAGAAAAGGCGGGTTCGGAACAGGCGACATCGAGCCAGGATCGTGCTGGGTCGGTCCTTGGTCCTTGGGCTCGGAACATGTTGCCGGACTCGCGCTTCCACTTAAAGTAAGTTACGTTAATTGTGCTACATAAATGTCATGTAGTCCGTATCCTGACATGCGGCCAGCCCCGGAACCGTTTCCGTTTTGGCCGTCCTTGCTTGCGCCTACCTTTTGCATTCCCCCGTAATGAATTTAAAGGCTTTTATGATTTCTCTTAACGTATTCCGATTAATTTCATTTTACACGAAGCACGTTCGACACAAGGATATATTTCACCAATTTTTTGCCAGATGACGGTACAACAAAAAATGTATCAGAACCGAAACGAAAGGAAATTCTGATTGACAAATTCTGCTTATAGCTAACATTTCTGTCCTACAACCATATCGTAGTCAAATAGATACGAAATGATTATATCTGGCACACAAAGTAAGATGGAGTGCTGCATGGTCTGTCATTCATTTTCTGTTCTCTCCCTTTGATATGGACACATCTCTCGATGGCATTCAAATGGTTCGGCTCCCCAGGAGCCCAAACTAAAAATGTTGCCACCCGACCAGTTGTTAGCGAGACATATTCGTTCTCTGCATTAAGATCTGTGACATCAGTCCAATAGTCTTGATCTGGCTGCAATTGTTGTCGTAGTGCATCATATTCTGCCTGATTTTTCAGATTAAGCAAATGACCACCTAGGTCAACACACCTGTGAGCAGCACCGAACCAGCTTAGCTTAACTTGGTTTTCAATATAATAGTAATTGGATCCAATTTGCCGATATAATTCTGGTCGCACTTCCGCTTTCACTTGTTGCGGACATTTTGTCTCTTTTTGTATCACCTTGTCGAGTATGAAAGTCAATTTATCATCAATATTTGCTGAACTGCTTCGGTCGCCACTGACTTTTTGCTGCAATAAATTGCTGAGCTCCAGAATGGACTTCACTACGTTACTTTCAAGCTCTTGAAATTTGTCCTGTTGGATCAACATTAGGTTCTCAATCCTTTCCCATGCTATTTGGGTATCGGTTTTCTCCGATTTGTTCGATTTGTTCTCAGGGCTACCAATTTGTTGTCCAGAACAGTATCTTTCACATCCTTTTAGCAATCTGTTCGGTAACATGCCGATCTATAATAATATTTTTTTTTTGGTAGATACATTTACATTTTTTAGATTGATAATCTTACCAAAGAGAAACCCAATAGGGGCGTCACTGAGATACAAAGTGTTATTAAATATAAATACAGCATACTTCACAATTTAGCAGCAACTGCAGCTGCAGCTCTGGTTCATCTTTTTATAGAGAAGATCAAGGCGTGAACATTAGGCTTATGCCATTTTGGCAATTTGTAATGGGGTTCGATAATGTAATTTGAATTTGAAATTCGACAAGCCGTATTTGCAAGCACTTCTAGCTACATTTAGCTAGTAACATTTACTGGAGATTTATAACAAATTCAATGATCAGAGAGCCAGCTGTGCTAGGAGTTTCATCATCAACTTGTCTTTGAATCTTAGTCTCAACATTTTTTTTTTTTTTGTATAGGTCTTTTGGCCTTATACTTTGTATTAGTCTTCATCTTGTTACCTTTAACAAGTGCTACTGTTCAAACAATATCTAAATGGCCAAGATCTAGTGTTTCCAATTTGTTTACCTAATATCCGTTCATTATCGATTATCTGGTTGCGGCTTAGTGTCATCTTTTATTCCATCTGAAACAACAAGACAATTACCAAGCGAGTGTGTTCTGTCGGAAGGTGTTTCAGGCCATCAGTCGAGTTGTACTTGAGGTCACTTCCAAAAAAAGCCAAAAGCGTTGCAAAAGCCACCAAAGCAAGAGCTGCTATCAAGATGCAAACATCAGCAGAAAAGGAATCTTGCAGAAGTGACGCTGAATCCGAATCCGAGACTCGCACATAAATTTTGAAAGGGAAACAATACAAAACAAAAAAAAAAAAAACGAGCAAAGGCGAAACCAAAATCAATTCAAACAAAAGAGAGCCAGAAGGGGGGGTGGGGGGGGGGAGGGGAGGGGTGGGTGAGTGCTGAGGCCTTGCCTGGAATGAGCTACTGATAAGCCTGTGGCCAAACGTTGCTCCAGAGATAAGGCAGTGGACCCCAGTGAGGCGTCGATTCCTAATTTCGTTTCGTTTTCTGGTGGCTCTATGTCTAAATGTTTCTCTTTTCGTTGGCTTTATTATTTTATTTGTATTTTTTTATTTTTCTTTTTTTTGCCATTTCTTTCTGATGTTTGGCTTTCGCTCCGCATTGCTTTCTGGCCTTCTGTTTGTGTGTGAGTGAGCGCGTTCATTTCAATTAAATGCAAATCTCGGCGGGGATTTTTCCCATTGAACGCCGCTCGGCCAATGGATTGGGTTGGCAACGTGGGCATGAAGTTTCCTGTTCCATGGATGCTGCGATACAGAAATTGTGGAATGTTTTTCACACATCGCCGCATTCTGTTTTCCGGCTTGCGAAATCACCAAAACCTCTACCTCTCATTCTCTCTTTCTCTCTCTCTTTCTCTTTCTCTCTCTCTCTTTCTCTCTCTCTGTCTCTCTCTCTTTCTCTTTTTTTCTGTCTCGCTTGTAGCTTCCCTTTTTTTTCGAATATATAAGTTTTATGGAACGGCGCTGGCATTGTGTGTATCATGGATTTTTCATGGCTAACAACCCGAACGGAGTATATCGAATACTTAATATAGCATCGTATTTACTCTTACAGATGCTGTGAGATGCAGAAATAATTGCAATATTATCTTACAACTATTTATTTCAACCTTTGCATTTTCCCTACTATTCAAATTGTCGCCTTTTCAAAACGAAACAATGAAATGATTTGCGCATGAAATTAATTTGCTGCGAGTATCGGATACGCTTTCACTTATGTAATGATGTTGAAGAGCTTTAAGAACGATATTTCAACATTTCTTTTTCTACTTGTTAAGTCTGCCTCTTAAAACTTGTTGGGAAATCAATCTGTGAACAAAAAAAAATGTATTTTAGCAGATTAGATCCGGTCTACAAGGGTAGAAAGATAATTTAAGCGGGCTTTCTTTTTCTAGCTGAGTTGCTGAGACTTCTAGTTGAGTCCATTAAAGTAATTTCCATTACTTAGTATTTATTTCTTTATCTTTTAGTTCGGCTCTCTCGCAAAGATGTGCAACATTTTGCTTGCATTTATAATGTATTTGCATATTTAATACCCGCTGTCTTTTTTCGCTGGTTTCGCTATCTTTCACTCCCACTCGCCCATTATTCTACAGGTGTGGCAGCACCTCACCTCAACTGGGAGCAGCCTCCACGGTGTCCGCATATTTATGTAGCTGACTGTGATGCTCACTCCATTTTATGTGCGTATTTTCCGTCGCTTCCTGGCGCTGTTGGGCAAATATTTCCTTTTCCGCTGGCAAATATTGCTGCGGTTCGAGAGTGCGTGCTGGCTAACTTTGTGAACAATTTCAGCCGAACTGAAACCCAAAAATGAAAAATTCATTAAGAAATATTAAATAATCAGCTTATGGCGCTCTGTAATTTGTATAAAAATGCTCCCAGCACAGGGTGCTCAAGAGAAAAGCTACTCGCTTATAAGGCTCCTATCTCCTATCTCCTATCTCCTGCCCGTTGCGCCGTCCACGCAATATTTGCAACATCATAAGTTGCCCGATCTTTGCGTTGTCACGTTCCGGTTCTCTCGGTTCCCACTGGCACGACAAAGTCAAACATGGACACGTTGTCGCCATTGTTACCGCAATGTAAAAATCCTCCAAGCGCAGTCAGCACACAGAAAAACACACACACACACACACACACACACTGAGAGACATAGAGACAGAGAAGGTCCTGTGACGTTGTCCGGCATTTGTAGATTTTCGAATGTCGGAATTTACGTTATTTTTGTTGAATTTGCATAATTTGGAGCGGCAGCAGGCCCGGCAACAACTGTCAGCCAGTTGATTAAAGTGATAGACTCTGTCAGGTTCTTTCCTTCGTCCACTCATTTTTCTTTCCATTTCATTCTCAATTTTTATTTTATTTTTTTTTTTTTAGCGAGTCCGCTCTGCTGCTTGCTGAATCGTCTGGCGCATTCGGTTCGGTCTGCTGCGCCTTTGTCCCAATACAAACGCCCCTAGGGAGAGGAGGGGGCATTGGTCTAGGGTTGGGTTGGGTTCAGTTCGGTTGGGTTGGGTTGGGTTGGGCTTTGGGTACGTGTTGAGTTGCAGTTTACTTTGGGCGTTGCATGCATTTTGAAAGTCAAGGTAAATATTAGATTTTGGCTTGTGCAATTTTTGGCTGTTTGTTGGCCAAAATGTGTGTGTCTGTGGGTGCCTATGTGTATTACTGCGTGTATATGTGTGTGTGTGCCATGTTGTAGATGTGGGTAAAACAAATATTAGCTTACAATTTGAAAGCTTACATAGTTTTACAGGGTCGGCTAAAAGGCCCGCGGTAGCATTAAACATTTGTATTGTGCTTCTTGGTCACTGCCATGGATGGCACCGTTGATTCGTAGAGCCTTGACTACTAGCAAAAATATTAAAGGGTATTCGGTAGACCCAGAGCATATACCATGTTCAGTGCTTGTCTACCTATGCTTTTTGTTTGCTCAATGTAACCCCGTGTTATATTACAGCTCATAAGGTATATTATTATTTGATGTGTTTTTTTTTCTTTCAAAAAGGACTTTTTAACTTAATAATGATCGTAGAGTTCGTTGTACTTCTAAATAATGGAGCATTTAGTGTTTTGTACTTATCCCGTGACTCCATCCTTGTCTCTTGTTTGCCCATGTTTCTACACATTTCATTACTATTGCAGCTGCCATGTCCTTTGCTGCCTTCCATTTCTTTTTTGTTTTTTTTGAGAACTCCCCAACTTATTTGCTAGGTTTTTTGTGTCAAAGCTTTGTTGCTTTTAATTAAAGCACCAAATTAAAATTTTCGTGTGTGTTTGTGTGTGTGCACTGAAACTTTTACTGTACTTGAGGGCCTTCCCCAAAGTTTGAGAGGGGGGCAGGGCAAGGTGATGCCCCTCATCATGCAGACAGTTGTGCACATGTCCCACGTGTCAGGTTAAACGTCATGCAAACAAAAGGCCTGTCGCATTTGAAAAGCTCGTGAAAAAAAGCTTTTTTTCCGCCCAATAAATTTGGCTGTTTTTTTATTCACAAAAAAAGGGTTAAGGTGTGAAGCGAGCTCCCAAATGACCAGGTTGCATCCAGTTGGCCATGTCCATAAGCCATAGACCATAGACCAAGCTCCACCACCCTCAGGATTCGGACTCGGTCTCCATCCGCGAACTGTGGCGCGCATATATTGACAGCATAGTTGAGGCATTAAAAAAGCACTGAAACTTTTTCGTTCTTTGTGGCTGACCGCTTGCAGTCAAAGTTAAAAGCTGAGTTTAAAAAAAGTTCGCTCTGACATCATTGATCAAATGAAGGGACTGACAAAAGGCGTGCCACGTTATCCGTAATGATTCCAGCTGGGGGATGTGGCTATTGTGAGTATATATTTAAGGGTTATTCGCTCAAAAAAAAATAAAGAAAATAATAATAAAGGGAATGTTTATCAAGTGTAAGGGAAATTAAATTTAAGGGATATCCAGTGAGTGAAAAATAAATGATGAAATGGATCTGCTGGATTGTTTACTAGCGACAGATAGAATACCTATCAAACAAGTATAAAATTGTTTAAGCAACAAGAATTTACTTGCCGTTGAACATTTGAGTCCATCCCTGACTGATTGTGGGTGCTAAGTAAACCCTATTTAAATTAAGCATAATAGAAAACTGAACCCTTGTCGAAAAACAATGTTGTTTGCTTTTAGCTTAATACTATTTTTAGAAATGAAAGATTGTATACATTAAGCTAGTTACTCTATACATTGGACAACTTCAATTGAAAGATATTTCCTTCGATAGTCAGTTTATCTTGAATGAATTGAGTAGACAACAGTAACTAAACACCTTGCCGTGTAATTACCGAGAAAACACGACTCCCTGGGAGATTTAAGTACTTGATGGCTCGGCGCTAGTTTATCAGAGACTGGATCAGTTTGTGGCAGCTGACAACTATCAGTGGTTGCTTGTTTTCCCCGGCGACAAAAAAGTAAATGCGAATAGCTAAAGTAAACAAATGACAAAAAACTTTAGCTCCAGTTGTTGTTGTTGTAGTTTTTTTGTTGTCCTGTTTGTGCTGCTAAACGGGCAATCCTTTTGTACAGCTGCCCGCATTTTAGTCTGCCTTTTTAAGTCCCGGTTCTCTGCTCGGGCGCCATTTGCATATCAACCAAACAACAGGCAGCTCCCAACTCCTCCTGCCTCCTGCCTCCTGCCTCCTGATGGGCAGCCTGCTTGGCAGCTGCATTGTTTTCCAGTGCGCCGCCATTTTCAGCTTTTTAGTTTTAGCTGGGAGAACCCTCGGCTCGCTTTTTTGTCGCCTTTAACGACGCCTAATTGCCTAATTAGGCATTTGCCTTCGTCTCATCGCCGCTGCTGCTGCTGCTGCTGCTTTGACCAACTTTAGCTGACTGTAAATTTTAATATTTCTCTTTTCTATTTTACAGGTCCCGAAGATATACTGAAATTTCTGGGCAATGAGAGTGTCGTGGATCACTTCAAACTCGTCACCAAGGATGGCAACAGTCTGCTCATCGGTGCCAGGTAAGAATATCTCGTTCCAGTTACCTTTTGTCACGCCAAATGCAATTCAAGATGCTGCTGCAGTTTGCTGTGGCACAAACAGTGCAGTGTCCAGGGTGTGGCACTCCAGATCCACTCAACCCCAATCGCAATCATTCGCCTCGTTGCCGACCTGCTCCTCAAGAGGCCTTTTGCAACTGGCCGCCTACTTTTTCACTTTTAATTCAGCTTTGTGTTGCGTACGCTTTTGTTTTAGTTTTTTTTTTTATTTTTGTCGTTGTTTTTGTTGTTTCGGGGTGCGGCTATAAGCAAAGGCGCAAAGGAAAGTTGCTTTTCCGTTTGCTCCATTTTTCATTTGGTCGTTTACGTATAGATGGAGGAGGGTTTGGTGGCGGCAGGTTGCGGGGCCTGCTGTTCACTTTATGAGTTTTATGCGGGGCACTTTTAATGCTTTTGGAAATTGGTTTAGACGATGATTAAAGTTTTTTAATTGCATTGGTATGGACACCATTCGCTGAGGACTCAGCTTGAGCTCTAGTTTGAGGTTGAAGGTAAGGGCGAGGGTGTTGGTGTGGGTGTGGGTATGGGTGTGGGTATGGATTATATAATGAGTAAATGGGATTTCAATGTGATTACATTTCGAGTGTGATCCGTGACGAAAGGCTGCATTAGTATCTGGCTGCAAGAAATATAATCAAATAGAGACAAAACTTTAATAATGAGACAACGTTCTGAATAGGATAATGTAAAAGAATGATAAAAAAACATACTAATTTAATACCTCGTAAAGCGGCTTATGCTTGTGGCTTTTCTCATACACAATCAATGTATTTTGAATACCTATTTGCTCTTATCCAAAATGATTCGTTGCCAGCAGCAACAGTTCCCAATATACACATTAAGACCAGGCCGTAGATTCCGTGAAGAAAGCAGCCAAGTTGTGACAGGCAACAGATGAAAGTTGAAAGTTGAAGCCTTTAACCAGTTGCAGCCCACCTCAGAAACCTCTTTGGTGGTACTTTCCGTCTAATACCCGTAATGTCAACTTTTTCGGGGAAGTCTGCATGTGTGTATGTGTGTGTGAGTGTGTGTGTGTGTTAGCCTCGTCATCAGCATTTGTTTAACATGTTTTAAATGAAACTCTGTAAAGGCATCGCATGGAGTGCAAAATCCACATAAAGTAAACTTCAATTTACTTTTCGCACACATTGTATTTAATTTAAGTAGAAAATACATAGTATATGAAAAGTTCGCAAGGGCACAAAAGAGAGCAGACACCAGCTGATGCTAGAGCTAGTTGAACGAGCTCTTAGCTTCCTATCAGGAGGGAGGAAATCGGGTTTCGGAGTGAGGTACTCAGTGGCAGCAGCTAAAGTGCGTGGTAACTTTGATTTTGCTGACTGCTGGCAAGAACAACAAGAAACCCAAACGCAAAACTTTGCAGCAGGTGCCCCAACATATCTAAAGAGAGGAGGGGACTAGACTGAGGTGCAGGCCAAGGAGGGGGATGTTAAAGTTTGAGCCCGGCAAACATTCAAGTGATAAGTTTAAAGGGTTGCCCACCAGCGAAGCAACCCTCAAAACCAAAGACTAAGGTAAAGTTGGCCTTAGCACACACTCAGAAAAAATCATAGCCAAGAAAATACACAATCGATCTTAAATTAAAACCTGCCTGATAAGCCGATATAATTTGAGATATTCCACAGAGAAACCGTTTTCAACCCTACACCTATGGTTAAAGCGCTTTGCAAATCGCTTGCCCTTAATTAACAAGCCCAAAGGAACTTTCCTTAATTATTCTTATGCTTAATATTCCGAGCCGACATATTTTAGAAACTTTCTATCCTAAATACAGAAATAACACTAACTAAGCTGTTTCGGCGACCAAACAAATCTAAACTTAATATGTTGCTTAAAACGTTGACAGGAAACCCCTTATTCTTCGAGAAACATTACTTTAGATAATTTATTATTTTTTCCTTAGTGTAATTGGAGCCACACTCAGGCGCTGTCTGTGTGTGTGAACCTTGTAAATTCTGTCCTTGTAGCAAAAACCGCAAAGATGCTTTCTGCAAATGTTGCTTGCAAGGTTTATTAAACGTATTGTATGTGTGCCTCATAGACAATGGAGTCGGGGGGTTGGTAAGGGGTTCCTTTGGAGTCAGTTGCTGCCCCTGCTTCGGCTGCGCCATGCAAATGTGCGCCAGCTGACACACATATTAAAATGTTGCATACTTTCTGGCGTTGGCCTGGCCAGCGGCAGCAAACCAGACATAATAAACATGTATGTGTGTGAGTGTGCTTGGTAAGAGGAGCCAAGGAATTTGTGGTAAAAGGAATGCGTGTAGCTTGTAAGACAAGACATCGTCACTCCCTGCTCTTCTCAATCGCTCCAGCAGCCACACTTGCCCAGACAGTGCTAAACTTTCAAAAATTGCAAATAGTTTCTGGTAATTTAATATTAACACGAGTTGGCCGTCCACTTGCCTTATGTACCACTCTCTCTCTCTCTCTCTCTCTCTCTCTCACTCTCTCTCTCTCTCTCTCTCTCTCTCTCTCTATCGCTCTGTAGCACTCTGACCATGCCCTTTGGCTCTTTGTGTTTGTTGCGGTTTTCTGGAACACACAATTTCGAAGAGACGCTGTGGGCAAATGTTTGGTTTCTGCAATTAGTGCGGTTTGTGTGCCATCGTTTCATTTCATATTTTATTCGAACATGGCCAGGAACTGGAATTACAAAGAACTGAACTGCATATGGCCACAGCTTGTGGCTTAAGCTTCTAATACAATAATTTAGCAAGGACATTAGATGTGCAGCATTAACAGCATTCCTTTGACACGCAAAGCTGAAAAACTAAATTTTTAGAAATAATGCTCAAGAAGAGAGCAAACATTTATTCAAACATTTATAGATGATTTCTTGAAAAAAAAAGTATTTTACAAACTCCCAGCATACAGCCAAAAATGTATGATGCATATTCATATCTATTTAAATAATCGTTTTCACATTATCATAAAAATCCAAAAAATAAATAAAATGCTGCATGTAAATTATTGAATTTTATGCGAACGCATTTTAATTTATGATTTCCTTGTTTTTGTGCCAAAGGGAAATCAATTAAAATATTTATTTTAATTCAAACTGTAGCTGCATTTTTTTCATTTCCTGGCATTAAAAGGGCTGATAATTTGATGATTTCTTTTTCAACAAACCGATTTCCATTTGTTTTTCTCCGAAACAATTGACTTGTTTTGTGCCAAGATTTAAGTGGCATGAATGGAAATTTCTAGGAAAACGAAGAGCAACTTTGATTGGATATCTTCAAATAATGCCCACGAGCCCATTATCTTCTATGACTTTTCCCTCTTGGCATTTCCCGTTTGCAATCATCTTAATTTGCGTTGCGTGGCAACAATGCCTGAAACTGCAAAGAGTCCAATTTACTTCGCTCAACTAAAATATTTATGATTTTTATTTTTTAATTTAATTACGTGCATAATTTAGCATTACAAGTGAGAGAAATTAATATAAGGAGAGACACAGAGAGAGAGGGGGAGAGGGAGAGAGGCTGCATAATGAGGCAGCAAAATGCAAACACAACAGAAACGCAAGCAAAGCAGAAAAAATTAAGTGAGCTCCAAACACACAAATAAGAGCTACATAAGTATTACTGTTTTGCGGAGAGAGAGAGAGAGAGCGAGAGAGAGAGAGAGAGAGAAAGACGGAGAGGGGGTGTAGTGGGGAGAAGGCCAGATGAAGACTGTGGCAGGGAGAACTTGTCGGCTTTTTGCTAGCCGAGTTTTTGTACGCATGAACGCATTTGTATGCTGGCTTTGTCGTTGCCAGAGTTGCCACTTACGTGATTAATGGATTTTTAACAAGTTACACATTCCGAAAAGGAGCCCAACTACACACATTCACACACACACACACACACACACAGGCAAATGCCCACTTATTCAAGCAGAGAGCGTCAAAGTAACCAAAGGCAACTGCTGCTGAAAGCCAAAAAGCGCCACTCGTGTGTGCGTGTGTGTGTGTGTGTGTGTGTGTGTGTTTGTGTGTGGAGTGTATAACCACATGTATGCGTATGGGTGTATTTCTGTGTTGGGAACCCACTAAACTAGCATGACAGGGCGGAAATGCGAATGTGACACGCGTTTTGCATGTGAAACGTCATGAACAAAGTAGAAAACGAAAGAAAAATAAACCAAACGTGCGGCCAAGTTGCCTTCTAACAAAACCCCGTCGGAACTTACATGTATACACACACACACACACACACTCGCACACACTCTCAGGTAGCAGGTATGTCTACCTGCCAAAACCAGGCTCAGCTTCTATATGCAAAGTCAAAGTGAATTCGTTAAGTTGCCAAAAGCAGTAACTCCAAGGTAAAAAGGACACAAAAAAAATAAAAAATAAAAGCACCCAAAAGAAAAGAAGAAAAAAAAATGAATCCAGGCCACAAATTTCTCGAGATAATCGAAAATAAACCGAACTGCACAAACAGCTTAGATCATGTTTTCTTCCTTTTTTTTTTTGGGCCGCATTTGTACTTTGCGTCCAATTAAATTGTGCTCAAATTGATTGAATAGCGCACAATTGTTGTTGAAGCTGGTTAAGCTTTCTTTGAAGTAATTGCACGTGAAAACTTTCGACTGTTGGCAAAAAACAAACACAAATTCAAGCAATTAGCTTAAATGAGTAGAACATATAGTTGCTTAACAAACTTGTCATAAAATTTAAACAAACTTGTTAAAGTTAATATGAATACTTTCTAAAAATATGTTTTTCGCTGTGTGTCAAGTGTTTTTTCTTATTTTTTAAATACTCTTCCAAACAAAAAAACATATTTAAATTATAAAAAGAGATCACTAAATAGCAAATCATTTGTTATAAATCTTTAATCTCGTTTTTTAAAGTTTTCGCATTAGTATTATCAACTGTTCTGCGTATATTCAAGCACTACCATTTTGTTACTGTCTTAAGTGTATATTTTCCAATTTCAACTGGCAAC